GGCCCCTCCTGTTTTTTAATATCTAATATTTTTACATGCTGCTAGTGAGAGAACCTGTTGTTAAAATATTTGAATCCCACCAATGATGTAAAGTAATATCTGTATTACTTTCTTTAGAGCGTAGCCAGAGGTTTTTTTATGTAGAAAATATATATTTTTGTGTGTGTGTGATCCAATAGCCAGTCTACAAAAATGAACAAATATGCTCAATGTATTCAGTTCTTTATTGTCGGAAAACTAATACGATTCACAATTCCCTAATCCCGCTTCATTACACCTGACTGGTCCAAACACGCGTTAACATGAAAAATTAATCACAAAAATTCGTTTCAATAATATCTCCTATATGCGACAGAATTTGTGTATCTAATAACGTTTTTATCTGGCCATTTTGTCTGGAACTTCTTCGCTAGGTTTTGAACTCTTTTAAAACAAGGTGATAAACGTGTAACTGCTGAAACAAATACGACCCCATCTGTAAGTTAATATGCACTAAACAGAAACTGTAAGTAATATTCTGTTTTTATACATGAATAATACATGTGATTCTGTTTTCTGGTGACAGGAAGCCAGTAAACCAGAGAACCGTGCACAAAGGCCTTGGATAATCACGATGGGACACCGTCCAATGTATTGCAGTTCAGACGACGGTGATGACTGTACTCACAAGGAAAGCATTGTACGTAAAATCTAAAATTACACAAGATATTTTTTCAAGCATCTTAGATTTATAATATGTGCCCTAGTAAAATATACAAATATTATAATTTATGGGAACAAAATAGCGTTTAAAAAAGTGTATACCTTTACGTTCTCTAAGATCTTGGGATACCTCTGAATAATTTCTTCTTATCATATCTTCTAAAATTATTATTTAAGTGTATGCTTACTACAAATCAGTGGCTAAATAAATTATCAGGATATCGAGTTACGTATAGTACCTTAAATTCAGATTGTAAGGCAAAACTTTTTTTTTTTTCAAATTGGGTTGATATTTAAGTACATAATACTATAAATCAGTGATTGAAAATAACAAGTGAAAATATTATTAAGTATATCAAAACTAACATTGAATTTTGGTTGTTAAACTATATGCAAAACTTTTTGTTTAATAACACCCCAGGAAGGAAAATTTCTAATATACCAATAAAATATTACTTTATTCAAATACATCGACATATGTATCTATGTATCGAGGGAAATATTTGTATACCTATGTTTACTATATTTAGTAGGAATATTTGAGATTTATAGAATCAAACAACTTGATTTACTGAAGTCTGAAATAAAATAATACACAAATTATGATTTAAACATAATTATTGGTAGTAAGGTACTAGCTGCGA